AAGTGTAAAATACTAAATGTAGACTGAATACAGGTTAACATAATGAAAGCATGTAAAAGAAGGGGACCTCAAAAGCTATCTAGCTTGAAAATTTGGACACTAAAATGCCTAGGTCAAAATCTAGGTCAAATTGATAGTTTTAAGTTATTTTTTGCGATTCTGACACTACACTTCAATGCTTTGCTTCCAAATTTTGTAGACAGGTAGCAAAGAGTGTGCTAATAGTGTTAGCCTTTGCCGTCAGAAAGTATTTTGACCCACTTTTGAGATATGGTGTCCGAAAAGTAGGTCAAACTAAAAGGTTCTCCAAATTTAACGTATGAGTTATGAATAAAGGGTAGAATTTTCTCAGGAATCCGAATCTGCAAACCAAATTTCAATATGACTTTTTGTTCGGAAGTTATGGCGGTTTGAAAGCTCAAAAATCGCTAAATTTGGTGCCCCATGTTATGGCAATGGGAAAAAAGATTTTTTTGAAGTGTAAAATACGAGATATAAGACTGAGTACAGCTTCACATAATGAAAGCCTATAAAATAAACGGACCTCAAAAGCTATCTAGCTTCAAAATTTGGACACCAAAATGCCTAGGTCAAAATCTAGGTCAAATTTATAGTTTTAACTTATTTTTTAGATTCTGACACTACACTCTAATTATTTGCTTCAACATTTGGTATACAGGTAGCAAAGAGTGTGTTAATGGTGTTAGCCTTTTGCCGTCAGAAAGTATTTTGACCAACTTTTGAGATATAGTGTCCGAAAAGTAGGTCAACATGAAAAGTTCTCCAAATTTAACGTTTGAGTTATGAATTAAGAGTCAAATTTTCACAGGAATCCGAATCTGCAAACCAAATTTCAATCCGACTTTTGGTTTGGAAGTTATGGCGTTTTGAAAGCTCATAAATCGCTAAATTTGGTGCCCCATGTTATGGCAATGGGAAAAAAAGATTTTTTTGGAGTGTAAAATACGAGATATAGACTGAGTACAGCTTTACGTAATGAAAGCCTATAGAAGGAAGGGACTTCGAATGCTATCTAGCTTTAAAATTTGGACACCAAAATGCCTAGGTAAAAATGCAGGTCAAATTTATAGTTTTAACTTATTTTTGCGATTCTGACACTACACTTAAATGATTTGCTTCAAAATCTTTTAAACAGGTAGCAAAGACCCCCGGATTGGAAGTAATGGCGTTTTGAAAAATCAAAAAATTGCTATTTTGATATCCCATGTTATGTCAATAGGGCAGCAGAAAATTACAAATTTTAAATATAAAAGATACTGACAGAATAAAAATACAATTAATGGAAGCGTGCCATAAAATAGGTCCTCAAAACCTACTTTAATTCAAAATTTGGACACTGAAAAGCCAAGGTCAAAATTTAGGTCAAATTCATGGTTTTCGTTAATTTTGCGAATTGGACACTACACTTTAATGATATTCTTCTAAATTTGGTATACAGATAGCAAAAAGTTTTCTAATAGTGTTAGCCTTTTGCCGTCACAAAGTTTCTTGACCCACTTTTGAGATATGGTGTCTGAAAATTAGGTCAAGATAAAGAGTTTTCCAAATTAAACATGTGAATTATGAAACAAAGGTAAAATATTTTCAGGAGTCCGAATCTGCAAATCAAATTTCAATCCAACTTTCGGTTCAGAAGTTATGGGAATGTGACTGACTTTCTCGGAAATTAGGTCAAATTTATATTTAGGTCAAAGGTCAATAACTAGGTCAAATCTTGAGTTTTCACTATTTAACCACTTTTTTAGCTGTTCTTCAATATTTTGGATGCGAGTTTTTTCATCATGTTACTTGGAAAAAAAAATTTCTGTGAAAACTTTCGTTTTTGGATTACTCGCTGTGAAGACCTGCCATAAATGTTTTCTGACCAAGCTCACTCTTGGAAT